TTTATTTTTTCGCTTGCTTAGGTGCTCCGTTAGGTTGAAACACACTAGACTACATGTCGCGGTGCGCACAGGTGCAGGGTTGACAATTTGTGGCAACCAACAGCGGCGACACTTCTAAGCGACAGATACCTTCGTATGTACTGAAGAGTTTAAAATTTTTAACATCTTCGTCCCAGTAACAGAATTTTTTCACCACAACGAGTCGCTCAAATGCGATCTGATTTGATTTTGTGCGACTTGCCCTGGCTAAAAAATCTTTTGTGAAGAAGCAAGATCAAATGTGTTATTACGCAAAAAATGACGATCTCGAGTCTGCGCGGAAAATTGATCATGAGAAAAATATTTTAAATGCACATTTTGGCTGATTTAGGGAACAACATTCAACATGGTGCCGGATCAGTTTCTTAGTCTCTTAACTATTATGCCATTCTAGAAAATTATGTCAAGGAAGTTCAGTTCCTACGATTTTATACCTTACATGGCTAGATATAAACTTTAATAAAACACGGCACAGCCTTATGTGGCTGAATTTGTGTAATACATATTAAATAATACCTGTAATGAAATCTAAACGAATATTTTCCTTTGTCTTTGGGTATGGTAATCTATAATACCGAGTTTAAGTAATGATCCAGGTAAGAAGGGAAGCAATTTCTTTTGTTGTGGCGCAATACGCTTTCCTCACATAGAAATGTTTTCACTTTTACGCAGAGAATGCATAAATCTACAAAAAGGCTGTTTACGAAAGAAAATGTATTTAAACTCCACTTTTAAAGGGTGTATTTTTGTGATAAAACATTTCGACCAATCACAAGAGTTGCAAACAATGACCAAGAAATGTTCACAATTTTACATGATCCGCACATACGATTTCTGTGTTACTTAGACTCATACGAGATTTTGTTATAAGGAAGTTGGATAGAAAAAAAGGGATTAATATACATGCTGCGTTGCGAAGATTTCGTAAAATTTGATGTTTAAACCAATCAGAACCGTAGTAGAGACAATAGTAAAGTTAGCACCTTTTTGCATTCCGACGTGTTCACTGCGTTTTGGTCCTTTCCTTCTTATCTGGACCATTACTTAAAACAAAGAAGAATCAAAACTTTAACAAACGATATAATTGAACCACAACATATACACTATTAATATCGAATGTAAAGGTATCATGTAAGCTACAATAAGCAACACTAATCTAGTAAAATATAGCTTCTTGAAATAAAGCCATCAACAAAACATTCTTAAACCTAATAACGTGGGACACTAAACGTGCACAAGTGGATCTTGAAGAAAAACTGGGAGAAAAAGCCTTCTTTGCTTACGCTTACTATGTTGTGCTATTGTGGAAAGGCCTAGCCTTCTTAGGCTACGTTATCCAGCATTTTGTGAACAGTAACGGCCCGGGACTGGAGCCAGTCGATCACACACGTCCAACATATCGCCGGCGTGGTTGGCCGAGAGGGCTTGGTGCACTAAATTCCAGTCCTCACTCATGAATTTTTACTTCCGTTTCAGTTCTCTCCAGTCATCGCTCCTAGTTATTCACTTCCGCGACGGTTTGCCTAGGTGTTCACACTGCACCAAAGTTTGGCACAGAAACTATCCGATATGTGACGCTCCACTTTTGAGATCGACGAGCCCACAAAGAAATAGCGGCAGACATCGTGCGTGAACAGAAGCCCTATCCGGTATGATTTTCGTGCCGGCGCAAACTCTATCCCGTATAGTGTGAACACAGCCATAGTGTGTTATAGTGCTCCTTACATGGGCAAATAACAATTGCTAGCGCTCTTCTCTAGGTGTGCTCTAACTCATGTGATAAATAGTTAGGTAGACCATGGTGAAATACTAGAGCTACGTTAAGTCTATGATGGAGTGTATACATGACTAAAACGCAAAAACATGACCTTTACAAGCTGACACTTTTCAGCTTAATGAGATGCTTTCTAAATTCCTTAGTTATATGGGCATTCCATGTCAGATCGTTAGAAATGGTAAGGGCTACGATCTTTGCACTCTTAAAAAATAAGTGTTCTCACCATCTATGACTATTGACTTGCGTTCTCCAAGTTATGTACATGCAGTCACGCAACAGCTAAACTTGAGTATTTTAAGACTTTACAAGTACAAAAAGAGATAGCATTACCAAGCCTAGAAATGAAATTTGAAACAACTTATTTTAGTCACAGGCCTAAATCTAACGCATAAGTACATCGCTCCATGCTTTCGTATATGCCACACCGTTTCTTTACCAGCGCTATACCAACACCCTGTACTTCAAACAGATATTCTATTATTCAATCGCGACGTCATTTACCTTATATATAAAGATTATACACGCATTATAGTAAAGCGTATTAAGCAGTAATTTGAAATACCAATACACACAAAACTCGTGAAACAGTACGCCTGCTATCGAGCGAAAAACGAGTCTGCACAAAGGTCCAAACGCCATATATTTCATCAGAATATTTAACAAACCTCGTAAAATGTCCAAGCTTATTGGCTACGAAAAAACGGAATAATGAATATGAGGCAACCTCGGAATAACCACGGCACACCCTGCAAGTCAGGGGCGTGGCCAGCTTTTGGACTAGTTGTAGGCCTGCATGACTTTAATTACCACATATCCTGAAAACTTCACGCATTACAAGTATGCACTGACCTCACCATCAGTTTGAGCTCTTTTAAGCTTTGAGCTTTTTGCCTCACCCCAACAACGCATAATTTATTACAAGCGGTAGAGTGATCAAACCAAAAATTTGTAGGCCTAGGCATACAGGTCTATGGGCTGGCTACGCCTCTGCAAGCAACGATTTGCTATCCAATATTATAAAATAACTGAGATAGTGGGCGCGCTCTGATTGGCCGAGAGGAGTGTTTGCGTGAGAGTATGTAAACATGGTTGTGGCGTCCAAATGTTTTGCTTTTCGCGCGCTTATCACGCAAGCACGAATTTGAAAAAGTTTTCGAGTTCAAAACTCGACAAGTTTACTTAATTTACCCATTCCTTCGTAGGCTGAAACTTGGAAAATCGTTGCAAAGACGATGTGTCAATTTTTGTTTCGTTTAAAGCTGACAATTTAAGTGAGAAAAATCCGTATTTTGGAAAGCATCCTTTTGGAAAACAAGACCTGATTACGCGTGCAAGACTTCGTGTACAAGACTTTGCGACTGGTAAGAATTTCTTTCTGCGTTTTTTCTCGGGAAAGTTATTTGTTAAAAGCAATAGAAAACTTTTTTCCTGTGTTTGCATAGCCTGATATAAACACTCGAGGCGTTGGGAGAATTCTCGACAGTTATACAAATCCTCGACTTTGTCTCGGGTTTGCATATCTGTCTCGAATTCTCTCAACCCCTCTCGTGTTTATGTCAGGCGATACAAACCCCGAAAACGCTTTCTATTGCTTAATTTTAACCTGCATGTAAATCAAATTTGAACTTCGATACTCATAGGCACCATCACCATAGCCGTCATCGTCATCATTATCATCATACACATTTGGAAATTTACAGTTTTCCATTTTCCGTTGTCGATGGAGAAAACAAACACGGTATATAGGTCTTTTTTGGCTACAAACAAGTTCATCAGTGTAAAAGAAATTATAATAACAAACAAACAAACACGACAAAGTTTCTAGATATGTAAAAATTCTATTCTATTTTATTTGCCAGAAAAATTACCGACACAGGTGGATTCAAATGACCGTTAAAACTTTGTTATTTATCTAATTATTTAAAAACTGTGATTCTTCTGGGTCACTTTTTAATCTTTAACGCTAAGAGGGTTTTAAGGATCGAGAGTAAATAGCTTTGAGATTTGAGTGCAATTGCCTTCGGTAGGCCTTTTCCAAATAGTCTATATTTATTTAAAAGATAAGGACTACTCGATAGCTCCTGTTTTAAAGATCTCGACAACTCCTTGTTTAGGGCGATAACGATGGAAAACATGGTCACCTGTAGAGGGAGCGGGTGATTGTCTTTCTACAAAACTGGAGTCGTTCAAAATAAAGTTCACTTAAAGAAAGGAAAACAAATCTGCCATTGATAGTCTCCGCTTATTTTTTGCCAAGTTGCATATATTGTCTTGCAATAAGACTATTCAGATTGCCTCCTACCACTTTTCTTCCGGGTCAAACAATTTTCCGGTAAATTTTGTATGCATTTTTCTTCCGACTGTAATCAATATATTTTTCGATGAGAAAACCTTACCTCTCCACTATAATAAAAGTATAGCAATCCGTTCTGTCTCTTTCTCGTCTGATAGTCCCTAGGGGAATACTGGCAAAATTGTTGTCGGGGGTTAACTTGGAAACAACTACACGCAAAACGTATCGTGATCACTAAAGCGTCACTTTTCAAGAAACTGAAAAATTTGTTTTGTCTTCCTTACTTGCCCTACGGCTTAATATTTTGTTTATATAATCTGCATTAAATTCACAGGGTATAGAAACAAACACGGTTTTTGGTGTAAGTTATAAACTACATTTGTCGTACTTAATGACCGAGATTTGTATTGCTTCTAAGCTTAATACTTAACTCCCAATATATAATAACGGCGGCAATTGTAAAACAGATGGGCGACACTTTACCCTAATTATCGCGTCTTGTTTAATTGTTCAATAAAATAGGTTGCTTAAAAGATGTATCATAAAAAGGTTCGATCCTGACACTGTCGAATGTTCACTGAATGTGAGATAACACCAGTATTTTTTACACCCCAAATCACAAACGTACCATTCACAGAGAGAAAACATAATTACCGTAGCAAATTAACCTGTCATGAAGTGTACTTTTGATTGGGAGCTAACGGGTGGCTTTCGTTTGGATTCACTGAATTCATGAGATAAGACGACTTAATTCAAATTCCGCTTATCTTATATCATCCTTTCCTGTTCACAAACCGGCGCAAGAAATGGCCTGTGATGTAATAACGAAATAATGGTTCCAAAGAACGCGCTCACTTCCTTGGAAAGTCTAATGTACTGAAAGGCGACATAATGTTTGGCCGGTCGCCGCCAAATATTCTGGCGACTTTAATATTTTGTTTTTTACTACTTTTCCTACGAAACCATTGTCCGGTAGAAGCAAAACCGCACCGGAAACCGGATTCTTTGAGACCAAATACAGCAGGTAACATTATCTATGAAGGAGATTGGCCAGAACTTGTAAACTATAAAAATGGCCACTATAAGAGAAGTCCGCTGGAAGTGGAGGATGAGCAGACGGACAGTAAGGGGCAGAAAATGTTAAGTCTTACGCCTGGGAAAAGACAAGGTATTGAAACACCAATTCAGCCTTTGACGTCGGATCCTAATGTTGACTTTTCACACTTGAACAGTGCACAAATCGTTCGGTCGAAAGTCGACCAGCCTGAAAGCGAATCATCTGCTGTTTCGGTGGAGGAGGAAAAGAGAGTGTCTGACGATAGCTCTGGTGCGAAACAGGAATTAAAGGAAAATGATAATAAAAAAAATGAAGAACACCAGAATGAAGACATTTTGCCGAGTAATGAAAACATGATTGATAAACAGAACAAAGAAGCGACAAATGGGAACAGTGCTTCGTCATCGCAGGATGAAGTTGTTGCTAGTAAAGACAGTCAAAATAAAGAAGCGGCCGATCAAAACACAAATAGCCAAAGTGTTGGGGAAAACAAGCCGTCTGCAGATGAAAATGCGCAAGTTCGAAGTGTTGCAAACAATGTAGGCAAAGTCAACAAACTTGAAAATATCCCTAATGACAAAAGCAATGCTAATTCGTCAAGCCTTTCTCTACAACTGGAAAAGAATCAGGCTCGTTCTGGTCAGGCTTTAACTAAACCAACCAACAAGCAACAAGAGGACGCCAATGAAAGTAAAAGTAAAGCAATAAAAACTCCACCACCGGTAACGAGTACCTCAGCCAGTCAGAACGCGATAGCTTCTCCAGAAAACAGCCCATCCGTTAAACCTGGAATGTCATCTCAGGAAAGCAGCCTAACAGCCACAGCACCTCAAGTTCAAAGCGCACCGGTAGGCCCGGTGCGAGATGCACTAGGAAACAGCGGGTCAGAAATAGTAACAACTCAAACTCGCGGAGCACCTGAACTTGACACCTACGCAGAGCGAGACAATGAGCCTAAACCATCCAATGGGCCGGAAGTTGGACATTTTCAAGTAGACGACAAATCTGCTGATCTTGAAATAAACGCAAATTCTGCAGGAGTCAAAGTTAAAGCCAAACCTGCTTCATTACAGGTGGTTTCACGCCCTGGTTCGCATTCTGGGGCGGGATCACAGGAGCGATCTTACTTCCCTCATTATCATTATCCTCCTTACCACCCCCACCACCATTGGTTTCCTGGTATGCGGAGATCGTTCGGACATTTCCATCGTCGCCATTTCTTCAATCCATATTCACCCTTCCTAGAGAGGCGTGGCTATGAGAATTTTTACGACGAAGCACCTTTCTATCGTCGTCGCCTGCATTACTGGTACCCACACAGGCATCGACACCATTTCCATGATTCTGATTTGTACGAAAGATCTCGTTTGGAGGAGCCGGATGACGTTTCAAGATACCGTCGGCGACGAAGGCACAAGCGGCGTTTCAGGCATATGAACCGGCCATATAGGCGGCAGTTTTACAACAATATTCCCATATCAAGTGGCATAAATGCTCCACCTCAAATGGGAGTACCGCCAGAAGAAGGAACAATGCCTCAGTTACCATTGGGACTAGGCCAGTCCTTTACTCAGCGGCAGAATATAATAACACCGATGCCACCACCTATCAACGTGGAGGGAAATCCTCCTCCTGGCTTGCTTGAAGGAATGAACGGACCGAATTTTGCTATGAACGGGATTGAGGGCCTAAACAATTTAAACGGAATGAATGAGATAAACAATGCTTTTAACGGGATGAACGGAATGAACGAAATGAATAGCATGGGCGCAATTGGCCTCAATCCGTTAGGACAAATGGGTACCATTGGAGGCTTACAAGAAGGTGCGTTAGAAGAAATGCCCAATGCAGAGCAAGCTGGTATTTCCAGGGCACTTGGAACCAGAAATAGGCCGTCAGAAGCACCACGAAGGGCCTTCAAAAAGACTGCTATTCTCTCGGGAACGAAAAGTAAGAACATGACAAAGACAGAACATTCGCACGAGAAAACGTTAGAATCAAAAACGGAGAATTTAAGCGAAAACCCTGAAAAGAGGAAAGCAACTAAACATGGTAAAAAAGGAGGCGTAAACCTTAAAAAGTGGGAAAAAACGCTTAAACGCTATCACGGAATAAACGCAGCTTCATCAAAGTCACCGGGAAAACGCAAGTTCCGTCGAAGTACGAAATCCCTTCCGGCCGACCAAGAATCATCAAAACCTGAGGGAAAAACTGATCATAAACACGCTGCATCGTCTCTTCATGCCCAACACGCAAAAGACGAAAAGGGGAAGAGAAAAAACGAAATTGTGATGCATCGTCCACCAATAATCTATCACCCGCCCCCTGAAATCTATCATCGCCCTGATATCGTGGTTCACCGTGCTCCCATAATGCTCCACCGACCACCTATCATCTACCATCAGCCTCCTGTTGTTGTTCATCGGCCAGCAATCATTTATCATCAACCACCCATTGTATTCCATCAACCCCCACCGATGGTGCATCAGCCAATCTTGCACTCTCACGACACGTGGGTGACAAAGCCTGTTGTCTTCCACACAGCTTCGACAGTTTCGCATGAGAAGACCTATTACGGAATACCAAATCACGTGTTTTCTGGAGCTTACGGTGACGATTGTCATGGCGGTCACTGCTCTTTCAGAAAAGGTCATGTGCCTCATAGAAGTAGTACTCAGGCGAAGGGCCTTAAGCATTCAGACAACCACAAGAAGAAAACAAAACGTAACAGTCTTGGCGATTATATGGCTTACTTTACATCCCTATGGAAGAGAAGCCCCTTAAACAAAAGAGATACCGAAGATGCATATGCTTTTATTTCGTCAAGCGACGGTGCCAGACAAAAGCTTAGCTACACGGACATGAATAAAGGTGCCATAAGTAAAAGGGACACTAGATCACAGTATAGTACACCTCTTAATAGAATTTGGAAACAAAAAGTTAAACGGAACTCCGATGACTCCAAGAACGGTACAGAAAACAAGAAAAAGAAAGATGTCGTTGTCAATCGACCACCAATTATTTATCATCCACCTCCAGAAATTTACCACAGGCCAGACATAGTAGTACATCGCCCTCCTCTGGTAATTCACAGGCCACCCATCATCTATCATCAGCCGCCAGTCATTGTTCATCGCCCAGCCGTTGTGTATCATCAGCCGCCGATTGTTTTTCATCAGCCACCACCGGCAGTTAGCCAGCCGTTGCTGTATTCACATGACTCTTTCACAGTACACCCTACCTTCTTTGCTACACATCATGGATCTGTTGTTCGCGACTTTGGACATTACGTGGGCGTGCCTAACGTTATTACAAATTACGGTAATCCACTATTTGGAAGGGGACCTATCGGCAAGAGATCTGAAATAGAAAAAAGGCCATCTGAAGGCAACACAACGACCTCAAAGAGTACCGGTTCAGCGGAACTCACCTCTAAGAAAGCCTCCCTGAATGAGCAAAACAACAAGGCGAGAAATGAGTCAAGTGAAAAAGCCGGGAAAAAGAACACTGTTTTAGTCCATAGGCCTCCAATAATTTATCATCCACCCCCGGAGATTTACCACCGACCTATTATAGTTGTTCATCGACCACCAATTATGATCCACCGTGCGCCAATATTCTATCACCAACCACCAGTGGTTGTTCATCGTCCTGCTATAGTGTATCATCAGCCCCCATTAATATTCCATCAACCTCCACCAATGGTCCATCAGCCAGTATTAAAGTCTCACGATACGTGGATATCAAAGCCTGTAGTGATACCTTTCTCTTCACGCGTAATGCATCATCACACGTACGTTGGGGTTCCTGATGCCTATACCGTTCATCATTTCGAGGGATCACACGGCTTTTACAAATCAAGAATTTTAAAGCATACGCACCACGAGGATGAACATGCATATGAACGAAACAAAATAACCGGCGAGAATAATTCAACAAAAACAGATACAGATTCTTCCCAGAAGAGAAAAACAATGACCCAAGAAACCAAGCAAAACAGCACATTAAATCTCAAAACAACAAAGACAACCAATCAGAAGGGAAAGAAGAAAAATGCAGTTATTGTGAGACGTCCTCCAGTTATTTACCATCCACCGCCTGAAATATACCACCGCCCAGATATTGTAGTTCACCGAGCTCCTATTGTTGTCCATCGCGCTCCAATAGTTTATCATCAGCCTCCTGTAATTGTACACCGGCCAGCTATCGTCTATCACCAGCCACCGCTAATATTTCATCAGCCTCCACCAGTGGTACATCAACCAGTTTATCGGTCACATGACACTTACGTGCAAAGCCCAGCGGTCAGACTATTTGGGTCGAGACTGCATCATGTTGGGCACATCTATAAAATACCGCACGCATACTATCATGGACCTGGCGGTGCCCTTCACTACATGGCATATGGGAAATCCAAAGTACCTAAACAGAAGGATTACAAAGAAGAGGAAGGTGAGACGAGAAATAATGTTAAGAGCAAAAAAGTAACAAAGAATCATCACGCAAGACCAAAACATAAAATTCTAACAAGAAGCAAGGATAAAACAGAAACGGGCACGAAGCTTCACAAAAACAACAACATTATTTACCATAAGGCAAAGGAGGTAACGGAAAAAGCAAACAAAAAGAACTCTGTAGTCATACATCGGCCGCCAATTATCTACCATCCACCGCCGGAGGTCTATCATCGACCTGATATTGTAGTTCACCGAGCCCCGATAGTACTCTACCGCGCACCGATAGTGTACCATCAACCACCAGTTGTGGTTCATCGTCCAGCTATTGTATATCATCAGCCACCTATCGTTTTCCACCAGCCTCCACCGATGGTTCATCAGCCAGTTCTTCATTCTCATGATACTTGGGTTACAAAACCTGTAGTAGTCCCATATGCATCACATGTACACCACGTTGCTACGTACAGAGGGGTCCCTCACGAAGAGATATTTATGCACGGTATAGGCACTGGGGCATTCGGTAAATCTCACGTTCCCGTAAGAGGATCCCGCAGAAACGAGATAAAAAGTGTGGATCGCGGAGATAAGAACAAGACAATAAACGCAGACAAGGAAACAACAACGGAAGAAAAGGGGCAACCGGAGAACTTAAGACATAGAATATCGAGAGATGCATTTGGCGTAATGCAAGGTAAGGAAAGACTTGGTGCAGAAAAGAGAATAAGGAGAGCAATATTTGGATCTGTGACCAGAAATCAGTTGGACGACATTACTGAGAGGAGCCCTCTTGGAGCTGAAGCGAGAATACAAAGAAGTCTTCTAAATTCTCTGTCTCATGTTTACCACCCAGATTACTCTAACAGTCAGGAAGGAGCTTCTCATGATGCGACCAGACCTGAGCGATCTATAGGCGTCTCTGCGCTTAACATGGGTGCTGGTGCCAGGATTCAGAGAGCCGTAGCAAAACCATGGACAGCGTTTGAAGGTGAGCTTCCATATCCTATGTTTAAACGTAGTAGTGACGAAACTGAAAAATCCTCTACACCGGACGAAAATGCAAACAAAAACAGCAATAGCACCAAAAAGACACTACTAATAATTCATAGACCGCCAATACTGTATCATCCACCGAGCCATATGATTCATCGACCTTCCATAGTTGTTCACAGACCGGACATAATAGTTCACCGCCACCCCATCGTCTTTCACAGGCCGCCGATTCTCGTTCACCGACCCCCAATCATAATTCATCGCCAGCCAGTTCTCATTCACAGGCCACCAATTATAGTTCATCGACCGCCATTAGTGTTTCACCGGCCATCTATAATCATTCATCGCCGTCCATATATAATACATCATCACCCGATTCTCTTCCATCGTCCGCCAATCATTATCCACAGGGGACCTCAAATGATAGTTCACCATTCCCATCTGATTCATCATTATCCAATGCACATGATTCATATGACTTGCCCAGGTTGCGGCTTTGGGAAATCTACTGTTGCACGACTAGAAGGTCACCATACTGATCACGACAATGACAAAACGTCACACTCTGACAGATTGCTTAAAGATGCTAATGTCAAGGATCCCCATCGGCAAAGTGCTAACCCGTCAAAACGCTCTGTTGCAGACAAGAAGTCAACAAAACATACTAAGGAAGACGAGCATCACAAGAAGAGAAGAGATGGGCACAAAAAGAAGAAGGACGTAGTCGTTAACAGACCTCCGATTATCTACCATCCCCCACCGGAGGTGTATCACAGACCAGACATTGTTGTACACAGAGCACCAATTCTCATCCACAGACCACCAATTGTTTATCATCAACCGCCTGTTGTTGTTCACCGACCAGCTGTAGTTTACCATCAACCACCCATTGTATTCCACCAACCCGCTCCAGCCGTTAATCAGCCATTACTCTATTCACATGATAGCTTTGTCCTACATCCAATGGCGTTTGCATCTCATATGGGTTCTATTGTAAACGACGCTGGCCATTACGTTGGTGTACCTCATGGCGGAATAAGCAACTACCCTGGAAATATACTTCATAGTCATATGGGTCATGTGCTTCCTTCGTTTAACCCAACGGGTTGGTCGCGAAGAGCTGAAGTCTCCAAGCCACAAAGCAAAAAAGATTCAAAGGTCAGTCATGGGATGCACAACAAACATTCAAAACGTTCCACAGACATGGAAAGTAGTACCAAAAGTGAAAAGCAACGAAAGAGCAAAACACCTGTCAAGCAGGAAAGCAAGCAGAGAAAAGGTGAGAGAAAGAATAAAGTTGTCGTTGCACGACCACCTTTGATTTATCACCCACCCCCTGAGATCTATGACCAGCCAGATGTCATAGTACACAGACCTGACATAATAATCCACCGACCTTCCGTTGTGTACCACCAGCCATCTGTAGTTGTCCACAGGGCACCGGTGGTTTATCAACAGCCACCTGTTGTATTTCATCAACCTCCTCCTATGGTCAATCAGCCAGTATATCATGCCCACGATACGTACGTAGCACATCCAGTGTATCAGCCAGAAGCGAGCCACGTTTCGCACTCAGCAACATACGTAGGAGCACCCCAATACTACCCGGGGCATAACAGCTACGGATGGGGATTACCAGGGCACGTAGGAGCACCTCAATACTACCCGGGACATGGCAGTTACGGATGGGGATTACCAGCAAGCGTGTCGAGTGTACATCCACTGGCAACTGCGAGGATACCTGGATACGGTTATCAGAGTGGTTCTGCTTATCCTGACTTTAGAGGTTTCGGGTACACACCGTCCCCAGCTTCCTATGGAAATGCCTTTGGACGATCAGAGGTTGAAAATCATAAGAGTGCGAAAACTAAAAAGAACGACAAAATTAAATCAAAAACGAGGAATAAAGAAAGCCGCAGACGAAGATCACTTGAGCTAAACAAGCGCAGCTTCCATCATCATCATCATCACCACCACCATCACCATCACCATCACCATCACCATGGTGATCACCATCGTGGAAGTAAGCGTCATTACCATTTTCGACCTATCAGCTCCTTTGCGCATTTAGGACATCGTAAACACATAGTAATTATCCATCGACCTCCTCTTATTTATCGTCCACCACCGCAAGTTTATCGTCGGCCAGATATATTGATGCACCTACCACCCCTTGTATATCACAGACCAGCACTAATGTTTCAGCAGCCCCCGACAGTAGTTCACCATCCTCCAATTGTCTACCATCAACCACCCGTGGTCTTTCACAACCCTCCTTCAATTGTCCACACCCCAATAATTCGCTCACATGAGTTGATTTCACCTCATCTCCAGCATGTCATGGTTCCAACGTCATCATACGTACATCCCAGTGCGAGCTACTTCGGACCTGTTGTCCCAGGCCAGGCATATGGAAAGTCTGATATTGAGCGAACGACGGCTGGGAAAGACTCCTCTACCGCCAAAAGCGAAAATGGTTTGGGTGCCAAAAGTAACAACAACGCAAAAGCTGAAGAAAAGCGAGATACTTCCACTAATCCACAAAACGAAAAGACTGCTAAGAAGGGATCAAAGAAACAAAATGTCGACCTAGTAGTTCACCAGCCACCGATTGTGTACCATCCACCACCTGACGTCTTTGACAAGCCACCTGTGGTAATGCACCAGCCTCCGATGGTTGTGCATCGTCCGCCCATCCTCATACACAGGGCCCCTGTTGTCGTACACAGACCTCCAGTTATTATACACAGACCCCCTATAATACTTCATCAGCCAGCACAAATTTATCGTGTACACAGCGGACATTTCTTTCACCCTATGAGATATGCATTCGGAAAGTCCAAAATAGAAGGCGATAGCCACACAGGATTGAAAGATTATGATAAAAAACACAGAGTCCATAAACCTGAAGCAAGCCAAGATAAAGAAAAGACAACCATTAAGAAAGGACAGAAAAAGAACACTGTCTTTGTCCATAGACCTCCAATGATTTACCATCCTCCACCGGAAATCTACGATCGACCAGATGTTATAGTGCACCGCCCGGACATCATTATACATCGACCATCGATCGTGTATCATCAGCCTTCAGTTGTTGTTCACAGGCCTCCGATAATTTATCGCCAGCCCCCGGTTGTTTTCCATCAGCCCCCGCCAATGGTTCACCAACCAGTTTTACACACACACGATACTTACCTGGCTCATCACGTTCCTGTGCCTTACACCTCACATGTAGAGCATTCAGGAACGTACGTTGGAGCACCACATTTTTTTAATCAGCCTTTTATTGGTGGATATGTGGGGAACGCTTTTGGCAAATCAAAGGTTGAAAAGTCCAGCGACAAGACTTCGAGCAGGAGTCATGCAAGCAAATACAAAGCTAAAGGAAAATCAAAGAGAGCGTCCACAATGGATGCGGATCACAACAAGGCAGCTAACATAACTAATGCTTCAAGCTCATCGCACACTTCTCCTGGTCACAAAAAGAACAAGGTTATTATCAATAGACCAGCAATGATATACCACCCCCCACCTGAGATATACGACAGACCGGACGTTATCGTTCATAGACCGGATATCATTATACATCGCCCTTCGATTGTTTATCATCAACCATCAGTTGTTGTCCACAGACCTGCCATCGTCTATCGTCCCCCTACAGTAATATTTCATCAGCCCCCTCCTTTGGTAAATCAACGTATAATGCACGCACATGATACTTATGTTGCCCATACTGTTCCGGTACCACATTCTTCTTACATACAACACACATCCACATACGTTGGCAGCCCTCACTACTACCCAGGAGGCTGGAACTATGGGTGGAGTCAACCACATCCATATGGATTAGCGTATGGAAAATCAAAGGTACCTGCAACAAAAGATACCTCCTCGAAGAAGCACAAGTCAGCAAATAAAGATAAAGTGAAACGATCAAATGAAGACCAAGAGGAAGAGGAAAAGACAGACATCAAGCAAATGCATGATAGAGCGAAACACAAAGAAAACGCCGACGGAAGTCGGAGAACTCTTGAGAAAGAAACAAAGGAAATAGAGGAGGAGATCACATTAAAAAATCAAACTGGAAAGGACACGCGCGGAAAGAAAAAGAACGTTGTTGTTATGCATCGACCTGCCCTAATTTATCATCCACCGCCGGAAATTTACGATAAACCAGATGTTATCGTACACAGACCCGACATCGTTATTCACAGACCCTCTGTAGTTTTTCATCAGCCTTCAGTGGTGGTTCACAGGCCACCAGTTATTTATCGGCAGCCCCCTGTGATTTTTCACCAGCCATCACCGATGGTCCACCAACCAATTCTTCATGCACATGACACGTACGTAGCACACCCTCATTTTGTTCCATTTACATCGCACGTTCAACATACAGGAAGCTACGTTGGTGCCCCGCACTTCTATCCAGGGATGTGGGACTATGGACAACATGGGTTTGGCAAAAGTCACATTTTTGGTAAACCAAAAGTAGAAGGCAAGCCAAAACATCTCAGAAAAAGTGTCGGCAGTGCTTCAAAGAATGAAACGTTTAGCGAAGGGGATAAAAGGAGTTTACCAGTTGATAAAAACTCTTCAGCTACTGAAAAGCATAGAAGTAATGACAAAGTTTCGATGAAAGGACACAAAAAGAATTTGGTGGTAATGCATCGCCCACCACTTATTTACCACCCACCTCCAGAAATATACCATAAGCCCGATATTATTTTGCACAGGCCGGATATTGTAATTCATAGACCCTCGGTAGTGTTTCATCAGCCATCCGTTGTTGTGCACAGACCCCCTGTGATATACCGTCAACCGCCGGTTGTGTTTCATCAGCCATCTCCAATGGTACATCAGCCCATACTTCATGCGCATGACACGTACGTTGCTCATCCACACTTTGTTCCATACTTGTCCCACGTAACACACGGGGGTTCGTATGTAGGGGCACCACACTTTTTCCCAAGTCATTGGGGACCAGGCCATGGGTTTGGGCATTTCTACTTCGGACATGCGTTTGGAAAATCCAAAGTAGAACAAGGTACACGAGAACTCAAGTTGGAATCTGCTAATAAAACTGTGTCGTCTAACAAACACGTAGACACGGCTGTGCAGAGCAGAAGTAGAAGAGCGAACGCAGATCTTGATTTGCGTGGAGGTAAGCCACACGCAAAGCCGAAAGACAAACATGGAAAAGATAGAAGCGAAAAAGAGATGAAAAAGGTGGCCCAGTTCCATCCAGAAAAAGAACATAAAAAAAGACATGGCAAAGGACACAAAAAGAACATGGTTCTCATTCAGCGCCCGTCGATGATTTATCATCCTCCTCCAGAAATCTATGACAGACCCGCTATTATTGTACATCGGCCAGATGTTGTTATTCACCAGCCATCAATAGTGTATCATCAACCATCAGTGGTAGTCCACCGCCCTCCAATAATATATCATCCACCACCAGTAGTATTCCATCAACCACCCCCAATGATACGCCAGCAGATGTACACTTCACATGACGTTTATCGGAGCCATCCGTATTTTGTGCCCTATATGTCTCATATTAACCACGCACAAACCTACTTTGGCGCGCCAAACTACTTTCCTGGCAGCTGGGGGTATGGTTACGGATACGGTTCTTCTTTGGCGCCGATCGCTGAACCAAGAAGATTAAACAAGCTCAGTGGTCCCTTTCTAAGATCTCCAAGTTATGGATCTAGTTATGTTGCACCCTCTGCTCGGGTGAATGGCGTGAGTGGTAATTATCGTTCAGCCTTTACCAAGTCAAACGTTATGAAGCACGAAAGACAAACGAAAGAGTCAAAAAGGACAAGAGATTATCAGAAGAAAGAAAATGTTAACATGAAACATCATCGCCATTCTCACAAACAAGAAAAGCGACATCGACGCTCTGTGCATTTATCAAATGTTCAGACAAATATCCACTCCACGAAAAACAAGCTTCACAAAAAGGGGCACAAATTGGATAAGGGAGGTAAGAAGAACCTTGTAATATTAAACCGACCTTCTCTAGTGTATCATCCGCCTCCTGAAATCTACCATAAGCCTGATATAATCATGCACCGGCCTGATGTTGTTATTCACCAGCCTTCAGTGGTATACCATCAACCCTCAGTTGTGGTTCATCGTCCACCAATAATCTATCGACAACCTCCAGTGGTATTTCACCAACCAGCGCCGATGGTAAGCCAGCCAACGTTTCACTCACATGAACACTACATTGCCCATCCTTCTTTTGTTCCATACACGAGTCACGTTTACCATTCGGGAAGTTATTTAGGTGCACCGGATTATTTTCCTGGAGGGTTGAGCAGTGGATATAGCCATGCCTTTGGGAAGTCGCATGTTCTTAAGTACAAATCAACGCCAAAAAAGGACAACGCAAAGTATCAGGGAACAGACAAGATAAACAAAGAACAGAGACGAAGTACTAAAGGAAAGATCTTTCATCCACAAAAGGAAAAGACTGAAAAAGCCTCCAGAAAGAATGACATTGTTGTAAGTCGTCCTCCTATAATTTACCATCCGCCACCCGAAATTTATCATCGACCAGACATCGTGGTTCACAGAGCGCCGATAGTACTTCATCGTCCACCAATAATTTATCACCAGCCTCCAGTAGTTGTCCATCGGCCGGCTGTTGTTTACCACCAACCCCCTGTAGTATTTCATCAACCACCACCAACAGTGAATCAACCTATTTTACACTCACATGATTCATTTGTTGTCCGCCCTGCCGCCAGATTCTACCCACAAGGTTCTTCTATTTCACATAGCATGAGTTATGTGGGAATTCCAAGCCACGTATTACATGGAGATGAATTAGGATTTGAACATTTCCATAACCTTCATCGATCACGAATAGAACACAACGAGAAGGGTCCACTGACAGCCCAAATGACAAAATCAACAATCTCGAAAATACCGACAACCAACAAAGAAAATACGGGAACGACTATCACTGACCAGACGCAAAAGAAAACTCTGAGATCCACTATTAGGCACCCCAAAATAACTAAAAGACAGCTCATAGGCTCTCATTCACTATTTGAATCTTTCTCCCCAATAAACAATGTTCAAGAACCACAACATGCAGTAGAGCAGGATGAAAAGTTATCAACCATACCGGGAGAGATCTCAAAACGTGAAAACGACATTGCGAAGAGACAACTTATCCTACCAGAACCTACGGAAAATGACTATCATCCTTCTTTACCGTCAGCATACAGCTCATTACAGTTGGCGGCTCTCCAAAACCAAGCTTTTGCGGCCTCTGAAGGTTTAGGGCAGTCAAATGGTATTGAACAAGAGCATATGGCTGATCTTCCGTCTTATTTGTCAGCTCTGCAAGGACTTGAGCGACCTTTAATGGGACGATTACCATTCCAGGTGCAGGCAGCTCCCAAATATGATTCACCGGACGTACGAGTTCATGTTGAAACTACAAAATCATCTATACCAATAAAATCACGAAAAAAGCGACAGCTGTTTCCTTTTTACCAGCAGCAGGCACCTTCACAAGTACCACACGTTTTAATCCAGACGCCAAGCTTTGGAGAATTGGGAGGTGCCATCCATTCAGTTGCCCCTGCATCCATTTACAACCTTTTGAGACCCATCCACTCTACGTACCACCCTATTGCAGGTCCATACAATTATCTAGGAATTGCTGGACTACAGTATCGCCCTCACGTAAACATCAATGTGCAGTCAGCCAGGTCGGTAATTCCAGACATTGGACATGACATCCAGAAACGATCAGACGAGAAAAAGACAAAAAGACAGTTCTTAGCAGTTATTCCGCCATTATCTCCAAGATTCCCATTAGGCTTAGCGGCAGGAATGATGAACAACTACCCCTCTTACTTACCGATTCCAGCTCCTTCAAGTTTCCCATACCCCCTTGTGCCACGAGCATTTTATCCAGAGGAATCTGAAGAGGACAGCACATTTTCTGACGCATTAGCGCTTCCCCGTCCTTCACCGATTCCACACGCTCCTTATAACACATTTTCAGATGACGACAATGAGTCCCCAGGATATAACCCACTGGCATCATACTTAACTGCACTTTATAATAGCTTCCTTGGATATCCACTCTATCGCCGCCATCGCAAACCTAAAGTTCACGTGGAGGTACACACATCAAAGTCAAACATACCAAAAGCCAAGGAGAACATTCGAGAAGTTCATTCACGTATCTCTAAACGGCAGTTGTTTAACATCTTACCCGGTTCAACTCTGACCGAAAATCACCATACCTCACCTGCAGCTTCAAATTACGGTATTCACCCGTATTCTTCACGGGTAAGCATCAACGAAGCAACTTCCAAGAGAAACAAAATACCTGAAACAAACAGGGAGAAAAGATTTCGCCAAGGACATAAATTACAGGCGAAAGAGGAAAGAAATGGAGAAAAAAGAGACGAACTAATGGGGAATGGAGCTATTGAACAAGACCCTTCTCAAGGTGAAGGAAATTATATAAACCAACCAGACAATCAAGTTTTAACTACAAACGAGGCCACTCCGAATGAAGAATACACTACTTCTAACGAAAACGACCAAATGCAGGAGCTCCCACTACAACAGTCATACGAAAAACCAAATGACCAAATCCAAGAACAGCGGCCTTATTCAGTTCAACAGACATTGCCTTTCCCTAATCAACCTACGACATTACCCTTACAAGCGCAACAGCTAGCTTACAGACCACCCTTGGCTCCAATGCAAATACCACCGCAGGTACCGATACAAACAGCTGTCCAAGCACCACCATATATGGCTCCGTCCTTAGGAGTAATTCCTGGTACATTACCAGCATTCCCTAATATTCCTCTTGCTGAACACCCATACGTGCAACAGGTTTCGGATCTGCAAAACGAACAGCCTAAGCATACGTCTATTAATGTTAACGTAGCTGCAAAATCAACAGTCCCGGTGAAAAAGGCAAAAAAGAGTACGACCTCCCACGCTAAACGGCAGTTTGTAGTCTCCCCACAGGGATATATTTCTGCCAACGGAATGCCTAGTTCTTATTCGCTCTATAAACCAGCAGAACGTAGCAGAGGTCCGAGGGTTTCAATCAGTGTACAGAGTAGCAGAAAAGAAGGAATAGAGAAAGGCCCAGCAAAGCGCCAGAGCATCTCACTTTTAACACGATTTCCTGCAATGCAAGTGTTACCTCAAACATTTAAGCAGAATGGCGTTTTGATGCCCGCTTTTAACACCTTGCCAGTAAATCATAGAATAAAGGCTAATGGGATGTTGTTAGAGGAACTTCAACGACAGAGGAAGCATCGTATTCCAAAGACGACTAAAAATAATAAAACAGCTACAAAGGAAAATGCCAAGAAACGACAATTTTATGTGGAGCCAGCGTTATCACCCTTAACAATACAACAATATGCCATAGCCAAGCAGCCAAGGGTTTATACAAGGCCAAGAGTTTCAGTAAACGTTGAAGTGAACAAAAGGAAGTTCGTGTCTTTAAAGGATAAACCTTCAAATGATTTAAGGCACAAGACACCCACTAAGGGCGAATCAAAAATAAGAAGACAAGTTTACGGAATGGAGCAGCTTCCCAACAGCATCCAGATACCGGTAAAGAATCCTCTTTTTTCACAGACACCCTCCACAGAACAGCAGCGTCGGGTCTCAGTAAACGTAGAAGTACTAAAAAAGAGTAACACTTTGTTAAAACGTAAAGGCCATGAACCAAAACTAAACAAAGAAAAACGTCAAATATATGGCTTATCAGAGCTACCACATGACGGACTGATCCAACAACCTTTAACACTACCGCGTCAAAGTCAGCCATTTGGATATCTGCCAAGCTCTCTTCACAGTCCACATGTTTCTATCAATGTTGAGACATCAAAGCGATCCGATGGAGTAGGCGAAAATATTTATAAACGCCAAGTACTAGGTTTGCAGCCAGATGTAGAGGAACCTTTTGATCAAGCTCAGGAACCTCTTACACCCGGACAAGAAGCATTTCAGTCAGAAGAAGCAGCACAACAGGACGATACGCAGACCCCTATAGAGGTACAGGAACAATCAAAAGCAGACGAGACGTCGCCGATAGCTGTTCAGTCCAATATCTTGGCTTCACAACGGGTGGAGGATTCATCCTCAGAACAACAAATATCTCGTGGTGTTTCAATCGATAACCTTGATCAGCGTCCACATGTTTCTGTTCATGTTGAAGCTTCAAAACGAGGCAAAGGAGAAAGTAGGCCAGGGAGTAGAAAGGTAGCGAGAAGTACAAAAGGAGAAAAAAGAGATAAAAGAGAGTTTTACCAATCAAATGGAAACGAACAACAAACTGTAGCAAGTCCACTACAACAAGAGCTGTTACAACAACAGCAACAGGTTTCACTACCACAAGCCTATGCTCCACTATTGCAGCAGCAGCAAGTTCAGCCGTTTCAACCGATCATGTTACCAGATACACAGTCCGCGGAGTCAAGTACCCGGCCAAAAGTGAGCATTAATGTTGAAACATCTTCAAAATCTTCAATATCTAAATATAATTCAGATGAAAAAAGAACAGGAAGGAAAGCAAGACGTCAGCTTTTAAGCACCATTCCTCTTCTTAGTTCTTTGGGACAAGCAATAGCAGATGGGCAACAAAGAAGATCAACAGTTCTCGAATCACTGGAAAATCACAACAAACCCAAAAAAGGATTTCGGGCTGAGAAAAAGGACAGACGGGTATGGAAACGACAGCTTTACAATTATCTAGGGGGTCAACAGGAACAACAGATTCTACCCTCTCAAGCTATACAAGACGTAACAGGAACTGACCAACAACTGCAGAATACCCCAATGCAGCCTGTTCAGATGTTTTCAGGCGGAGTCCAGGCACCACTACCGCAAATTGGAGGAGTTCCTCAACCTACTGTTTTAGAAACAAGTGATCAACAGGACCTTCAACAATACCAAAACGAAAAAGAACAGCCAGGGAATAATCAGGAAGGTCCTATCTCACCCATTCAAGCTGAACCAACTTTAGGTTCTCTTAGTTCACTTGAACGTCCACATGTAAGCATAAACGTTCAAACAGCCAAGTCACAAGTGCCCAACCGGTTGATTGCAAAAAGAATGGTACCTGAGAATACAAAATTTAAACGACAGTTTGATGTACTTGGTGGTGGCGGTGTAATTGAGAGACGAAGAGGTCCAAAATTCATGACAGCACCTTTAAAGAAACCAAGAATTGGAAATGTTTTTGCATTAGGTAATAATCCAAATAAGCCTGCTGAAGTCTTCTCAGATCCACTGGCAAACCTTCTCGCTGGTGGAAATGAAAACAGAAAGAGACCAAAGCTGGGAGGAATACGGCTTGATAATCCCACTGGTGTTGGAGCCTTACCACTCAAAGGGGCAGGAAACCCTTTGGATGGTTTGTTTTCTCCTGATGTTCGTGCACCGACAATTCTTCAAGACAATGGTGCAGAGGCGATTTCTCCATTCGTACAAGAACCAGCGCTGATGGGAAAAAATCCTATATTTCCCCCAAGTGGCATAGCTGGTCCCCGAATTGACGGTACTTCAAGAGAAGATAACATTCAGTTGCCATTAAACGACTTATCTTCCACTAGGCCGGCAATTATACCTCTACCTACTCTCAACCAAGCCATAATTCCCAATGTGCCTTTGGCGGCTGCAGCACCACCCCTACAACAACGCCCAATCCTTCTTGCCCCACAAGTGCTTCCAATAGTTCCACTTGCAACACCAATGCCACTACCGACTCCTGAAATGGAAGATACAACGCATGACCTTCCAGCTCCTCCTCAGATAGGCCCAATAGTCCCACCGTTATTGCCCGTTCCGTTGCCTAACGTGGCACCACCTCCATCGCTTCAAAGCCCAGATAGCTTACTTTCCGAGTCAGATGACGACAAACCATCAGTGCATGTTAACGTTGAGACGTCAAGATCAAATGTTCCTGACGTAAAAAAATCATCCAAGAAGGCTACTGGCCCAGCAACTCATGGTTAGGCTGAAGGAGAAAACGATTCTTGAGGTATGAAAGACGTTTTTCAAAAGCTGCTAAGGAAAAGACACTGACCGGGTATTAAGCAATATAAACGTAAATTTGATAAAATAACGTGGGCTAAAGAGGATAAAGGTATAGTATAACGAAATGATTAGTTTAAAGTTCTAAATAAGAGTTAATTTAAGGCACGGCATAAACACAGAAGTATATTGTGTTAATTGGTGGATTCAACTAAGGGGAACATTTTTAACATTGTAACTCGACTTGTTAACCGCTTCCCTCAGTTTGCGGGCCGAAAACACAGTTTCTTGAGAATTTTCATTGGCTCAACTGTTCCTCTGTAAATAAATCACCGGACAGTGTTTTCGAAGAATTGTGGTCATTAAGTCTTTGCCCTTGATGCTGTGATTTTTCCATCTCTTTACTCTACCTTTCAATGGATACATGCACCTTGTATAATGAGGTTGGGGCTGGGAGACCGGATTTAGAGACTACTGACAAGGAAGGCAGAAGCTGTCAAATTATAGTTGTGGCGATTCCGGAGGATGAAAGTGTGAGAGAAAACAAGCACGAGAAGTACAAAAGTACCAAGATCTTACGAGAGAAGTTCAAAGTATGAGTAAGGGCAAAAGTGATTCTGGTGGTACCTAGTGGGAGTATAAGAATCATTACCACTAGTTAGGTTGAAAGACAACCTGAGGGTCACTGATGTGGTCACTTCTGTTGAACTGATCCAGAAATAAGCATTGTTGGGGTCGGAAAGGATACGTAGGAGACGTTAATGGAGATATAGAGAGGAGATGTAAGGAAACAACATGTTGTCATCCAGAGCCAACCTCGTTTTTAAGTTCAATAATAATAATAACAATAATAACAATAATTATAATGACAACAACAATAATTAATAATAATAAACAACGAAATCGCGAACTTGAAATTAACCAACCACATGGTAAAGCTGTGAAGATATACTAGACAGTGTAGACAACAAACATTACATGTCAGCATGTTTCAATATTCCATTATATTTTTGTAGGACCCGATGTAGTTTCGTACACCAAGCGTTACCCAGGAGAGTAAGGGAACTAAAGGAGTGGGCCTGATTTTGGAACTGATGAAGACGTGGAACTTCATGTAGATACTTTTGAGTGCTTCCAGTTGATTCAAAGACCCACACGGCATCTCCTTTGTGCATCACAGTAGTTTGATTAACTACAAGCGTAGCATTAAGCTCGCTTTCACACTGCTGACACTTTTATGTAATAAATTGAAAACATGATTATAAAACGCTAACAGGGCAGCGAAAGTGAGTAAACGTTGACAACTGACGCATGCAGATAAACAACACTTTCCATGTCTGGAGAAATTTAACATCGCTTGAGATTCCAAGAGTGTGCGTATTCTTTCAAAGAAAGCAAAACTCATGTTAATTTGAACAAAAACATTTGATTTAACTTTCACAGAAATAGGCGTAGCTTAAAGCCGTTTTGCACGATTAATCGATTGTTATACGTACCAAGCTTATGTATAGTCTTAATACATTTCCGTGTCACTTTTTTGGCGGACACAGTGTATTAACAAACTCATAGGGTGCGTTCGATTGGAAAATTTTGAAATCCGGATTTCGGAGTTGCAATAAAACACGAAATCCCAAAACAGATTTTCATGCCGTTAGGGGGGAAATCGGGAAAAAGGATTTGAAAAACTGCGCGCAAGAAAAGCGCTACAGCAAACGCAGGAATACACATAGTTAGCAGAAAAAGACCACTGTATAAGAAAACATTTTTGCAAAACGTTTTCTGCAATTTCCCAATAAAATGGTGATGAAGGAAATCCATGAAATCTGCAGAAAGGATTTCTTAATTGAAATCCACCTTGAGGAGGAATGTTTTTTTTGGAATTCGTTAATGGATTTCGCATTTTATCGCAAAATCGAAATCCATCCAATCGGACGCACCCAAATAATTTGTAGCCGTAGCTTGCTTTACCGGTATGTATTTGCGGCTCACAATACGGTCTAGTGCAATTTGGCTTTTTGACTTGTTTAAGTCAAAGATCACACATCTCAAGGGAGATTTTATTTAAACCTATAAAGTTACTTAATCTTATCAACCGGTAAACGTTCTAAGTGGAGCTAAAAAGGGAAATAAGTCGTACTATTGAGTTCTTCGAAGCTCCAAATACTAACTTAAAAGTTCGGTTTATGAAAAACAATCAAAACACATTTTCTATGAATAAACACTTCGATGAAGTTTAGAAACAATTGTGACAATAAAATATCGAATTTTAAACGCACTGCGCGAAATTACTGCGTCTTATCTCTAATCCATTTGTCTTCAAAATATGCTCAGCGAATCAAACCCACACGTATTTTACACAAAAACTCCTAATAGACCTTTTTACCGATAAGGCGGCCATATTAAATTAATTCGATTTAAGGAGTATTATAGGATGCCCAGGGGGGCATGAGCACATTTCGTTTGAATTTTCGAGCGCTTTTCGGGACATTTTTTCGTAAAGTTTTCTTACAATATGATTGTAATGGGAAAAAAAGATCCTTGTGCCGTGTTTGGATGTAATAATGATCGCCTTTTTCCCGAGAAATATACAGTGAAAGACCATATTTCTAATACTAAACTAGAAAAAGGCGATAATTAACACATCCCAACACGGCACAAGGATCTTTTTTGTTATTACAATCTTATTCTAAATGTCCCGGAAAGCGCCCTAAAATACAAACGAAATGTGCTCATGCCCCCTGGGCATCCTATAATGCTCCTTAAATCGAATTAATTCAATATGGCCGCCGTATCGGTAAAAAGGTCTATTGTCTCCTTAATAGGAAGCCCAAGGTCTCTCTTTAGCAAGTGAAGTAACATGCCTCTTCCAATCCGCACCGAAAAGTTTGTAAATTACTCGCATTCGGCTCGTCATTTACAAGCCTTTTTACTGTACACCTGACATTAAACCAACAGAGTGCAGTTGATTGTTTAAAAAAACCGTACCCCTCTGATTGCCGTTATCTGTTTCTTCTCCCATAAATCATCCGTGGCATATCTGCAAATTAGCTGACGAAGTTATTAAACGAATCCATAGAGCTAATTTAGTGTGTGGTCCACTTTAAAAAAAACTATTGCATTGTATTGTATTGTATTGCTTTGTCTTGTGTACAGTTCGTGTGAAGTCATTTGTGACGATACGCGGCTAAACAATCCTTTCTATCGAAATTTTTGCAAACTCGCTTGTGCCTCATTGTTTTGGAACGCAAAGGCCACTGAAGAAAGCACCCGAAGGCCAACGAAATCACTTCGGAAACCGAAGCTTACTCTAAGCAACACTAAGTTGACTGTGAGCTCATGGGCGCTTTACTCAGCTGTTTTTGTGTTTCAAAATAATAGCGCTGTAGGAAAGTTGAATGAGAGGCAGGATCGACAGGATTACTCAGCGGTGGGAGAACAAATATATAAGGCAATCAAAGTGTTAGGAAATTGTTTACTGCCTATAATAATAGAAACTAGTCTGCCATGCTTCCTTTGGCAATCATGCAATCTCTCGAGAAATGTGAAGCAAGTCGCGCGCGATTCTCTTTATAACAAGTGGCTCCTTCCCCCAGAAAAATTTTTTTTTTCTTATTTAAAAATTAGAAAACAAGACAAAAAGAAAACATTCAAAACTGGTTCAAAACATTCAAACTAGTGCGCGGAACAATTTAAACTAATCTGACTTGATGAGTGATTCACATCGCTGCGAAAGATCTATAAGACCTGTAAGTTAAATGTATTCTTTTTCCCGCAGGTAAAATCAGTAAAGATTGTTTCTAGACCGAACCACTGTTAGAATTCCCTGTTTTCAGCCAGTCCGCAAGATATACTGTTTGATATACAGGTTTCAGCTGCACACACTTACAGTGTATACGTGTGGTTCCAGTCATAAAGAAAGTGGCTGTTATGGATCAGTATTACCTTTGGTTTAAATTTATTTTAGGGCGCCACTATGATGATAATCAGTATTGAGTTTGAACTGAAGTAAAACAAAAGTAAACCATTATATAGCGACAGGTGTATTGAACTACTGTGTAGATGCGAATTGTATAAGGACCTACACTTTGTAAAAAAAAAAACATTAATCATGAGCTTTTTAAAGCAAGTAGAGATGGCATCCAGTGAGTATTGTGTTTAGTAAACAAACGCTGCAGATATAAAGAGATAAAAAAGCTACATGCAAGTAACAGAAAATCCATCGTATGAATTAAATTAACTTAACTAACTTGTTAATGTCCTCTCTTCTGATTTTCTCCATTGTCTTTCCAATGCAGATTCCATTTTAAGTCACCACAATACAGAAAATGAACCTGTGAAAAATCAAAACACACTGTACAGTGGAAAGCATGAAATGCAAAAAAGCAATCTTTTTTACTTTCTGCATCAGTTCAATAAAACTTCTAAAAGTGTAACTTACGGCTGTTCAAGTATACTACTAAAACCTAGGTGTTTTAGAGTAAAAAATACCAAGATTTAGAAAAAAAAAGCTACATGGAAGTGACAGAAAATTCATCGTATGAATTAAATTAACTTAACTAACTTGTTACTGTCCTCTCTTCTGATTTTCTTCATTGTCTTTCCAATGCAGATTCCATTTTAAGTCATTACAATACAGCAAATGAACCTGTGAAAAATAAAAAAAACTCTGTACAGTGGAAAGAATGAAATGCATCATATCTCAGTGCAAAAAAGTAATCTTTTTGACTTTCTGCATCAGTTCAATAAAACTTCTAAAAGTGTAACTTACGGCTGTTCAAGTATACTACTAAAACCTAGGTGGTTTAGAGTAAAAAATACCATTATTTTGACAGAAAAAACGCATTTCACCATTTTCACTTTGCCCATAATATACCTTGTTTACTACCCTTCCCCAAAATTTTGCATACACTGTACATGTAACAATGATTGTTTCCAACTGGGTATTATTAATTGAAGACAATGGTTATGCAAAAATTAATGTT